GGTCGCGACGACCCACGGACGTTTATTTTTCTACGTACGCTTCTCACGCGTCCCGACTTCAAGCAGCAAGAAAAAAGTAAAAAGTACTTGAAACAGACCACGACGAACAAGAACGCTGCATCCACAAACACCCGGGAAAAGCTCCAACGGCCACGATTACACCGAACAGGACCAAGCGAGTACGGCAGTTAGGCTTAGCAGGCACTCTGCGACTCGGCGACCGTCTGCCCACGACCGGCTGGCGTGCTGAATGGAATATGCCCGCGCGACCCTTGTGAACCCTTATCGTCTTATACTTTGATCGCTGATCTCAGTTTTAGATTAATAAGAGGTCACTTTCTTCCTCTTGTTATCTCCTTGTTTCCCGAGGCAACGGTGACTCTCGCCGGTGAAAAAGCGGTGAATCTCTGAGAGACGCATGAAAGGTAAAGCAGCCATCGCTTTGTCTAGCAGACGTAAAGCAGACGACGTTAACTGCGCCAACCCGCCGACGCCGTTAAAGAGTGAGGAGTCTCGCCGCACACGAAAGGAGGGAAAAAGTATTTGGTGGGAACTTGCGGACACTAACCACCCTCACTCTCGGTTCTTAGCAAACAAATCTCGGCGCCTCGGGACACCTCGCCAGTGAGTCCTTTGACTTCCCTCCTTGATGCGCGTCTGCTAGTTGTTAGACATAAACAACGTACCACTCGAGTTATTTCGTCTGCCTCTCTGAAAGGCGAAGTCGAGCTGGCTCGCAAAGACCTGCACTTCCGAAGGTCGCAGGAAAGGTAAGACAGACACAGACGACGTTGCCAGCAGACGGCGTTGCAAAGGAGCAGACGACGCTCAGATAGGGGGTCGCGATCAGCCAATCAGGGCTCGGCGTTCTGACGTCACCGCTACTTCCTTCCTCATGCGCAGAAGACGAAAATGAGCCCACTTGCGAGGCGTATATATATTTTGAACAAAATACATTGATTGATGGACATCGACGGATCGTGCATTTTACCGTTGAGTTACTAAGAAAGTCAGAATAATGTAGTAGAACAGCCTTTTTTGTTGTCTATTTAAGCGAGAAAATTGGAACTGGCATGGTTAATTTCGAGCGTCCGTCAGTTCTGTCTTTGGAAGCCAATGGTAAAGTTGCAACCTCAGGATTTTTTTTTTTTTTTCTTCTGCGAAGCAGACACGTTTGGATTTTGAACTTAAGCCGCGTTTAGACAAAGCTGAAGATGTTACAAAAATGCAGTCAAAGTAATGAGACACGCGGTTGGGCTCGTGTAACGTAAGAAACGTAACAAAAATAATGTTGTTGTTTTTTATAAAGAAACTACAGCGTACCTTTAAATAAATGAAACAGGGATACCTGCCTCATCATTTTCGAACATCCAGCAATTGTTCAACGAAGTCCCCATTACTATCTCATTTTATTTTGCCAACGCGCTGAGTAAGATGTCTAATTCCGGCAGCGCTTGCTTCGTGTGGAGCCCGCACAGAGGATGCAAGTTTTCGAACGACAAGGAGCTGACACTGAAGGTGACAAGCTCCAAAGCTGAAGCAAGCACTCTTCTCTGCTTTCAACCGAGTTAATCATGACTCGGCTGAAGGCGAACAGCGCGACACAATGTAAATAAGAGTTCATATTTATTGTGCATGAAATATTACGGTCGTGCGGCATGCGCTGCGATGCGCTTGCTGCATCGCAGCGCATCGCTTTTTTTTTTTATAAGTTCATTCTCACGTCCTTCTTTCGTGCGTTGGGTTAAACAAGATTGCTCCGACCATTAGGTGAACAAATATTCAGTATACGTGTAATTACTTAGCAAAAAAAGAAAATAACAATAATACTAATAATAAAGCGAAACTCGTTTGTTTGGGGTAGAGCGGGTGCAATCAGGGGGCAAAGACGGGAGGAGAACGAGGCAAATCATAAGCGCTGGCATCGATGGTCCCACAGAAAGAACGAGAAGGAGAGTGACGGAAGAGCACAGAAAGAAAGCAAACGAAAGCTTAGGTCTGTTTGTTTTGCCGCCACGAGTTGATATTGCTCAAACGATATTATATATATATATAGGCAATTTCACCTCGAATCGTGCAGGCACAAAGGGTCGAATTTTTAATAAGCTATAGCGCCGCCTCTAAAAACGCAGTCGCCACAAACCGCAAGTTCGTCGGATTGTTTGCTCTCGACTTACGAATTTTAAAAGAGACCGCGGCGGAAAGCAGTGTTTTTCACATCCGTCGTGGGTCGGATGTTTCGCTCGATCTCCCGCCGTGGATTTTCGGTTCACATCATATTAACTTTTAAGCACTCTGTGAGCACAGTTTAAAGGCTCTAATGCCATAAAAAAATTTTAGGCGCTTTGATTTTTTTCTGTAAAATGTCAAAAACGCACCATCGGTTAATTGTTGATGAACTTTGACAATTAAATACTGGCGATCTACTTGGGTTACGTCAATATTTTTATGTCTATGGAGAGCCCAAAACACGCTCTTTATATATATATATATTATAAAATGACTCAGATATATAGAATTCCCTTTGCGGTATGTCTACGTTAATATTATGCTAAAACCAAAAAAAATATCAATTTTGAGATCGAGTTTCTCACAAAACCCATTTTATTATTTTTATTTTTTTTGTTACAATTTAGATGTGATAGTTGTCTGCTCGAAAAGAAAGTCTAGAAAATGTTATTTTGTTCGTATGTTCTATATTTGCAAGACCTAAGTCAGACATAGCTACCCACGCGTTTCTATGAATTGTGAAAACGTTTTGTTGCAGTTTTGTCTGCGTTTCGTAATCAATTATAAACGCAGTTTGTGGTATTGAATAGTTATTTATAGGCGATAGGTCTACCAGGCGTGGACCTATCGCCTTGCCACCGGTCGGACCTAAATCTTTTATTCGTTTAACGTAATTTTCGTTACAATCGGTGATGGGCAATTTTATTCTTACTAATTTGTTTTTATTCCCTACCCCTCTCCGTGCCAATCTCTCCGTGTGTTACAGACTGTCTTGTGTGTCTTTTCGTTTGTGTATTACGGAAGCGAAAGGCCGTTCCCTGGTGATCTGTGCGATGTGCGGTGAACAAAGCCTGGCGTTTGGTTTCAGAAATAATTGGGTATATAATACACAATTCTTTCTGAAACCAAACGCTCGTCATTATCGCGGCCGGCTCCACTTGCTTAGGCGAGCCGGCCGCGATAATGACGAATCACACGCCCGGAAGGGCGAAACGACAACTTTACCGGCGCTCTTTCCTGTTTAGTTTCGGTTTGACGCCATTTACTAAAGTGACATTTCTCAACCCCGTATAGGCCTACTAGGAATTTTTTTAATCTAAATTTGACGACACAGCTAGACCATACTGTGGTCGATCTTCAATCCTCTAAATACATTATGTGCCCTCAAGTGAAAAATTAAAAAGTTAGTGAAAACATTTGAGTTAATTAGCTAACTAATTACCTAATTTCACCATTTTTCTAGAGGCCGCCATGGCCACGAACACTTCCCCAGGGCTCACATTACTCTATCTCACGTTCCCTTTTTTTTTTTTTTTTTTTTGAAAATTTAGTGCAGTTAAAGAAAAGCACGGTATATATATATATATATATATCTGTGTGTGTATTGCGATTCCTGTGTTTTAGTATCAAACCTAGAAAAGAACGAGTTACAGAGCTTACAGGTGATATAGGCCCTTTGGGACGACCAACTGGGACCACCTATGTCAGCGTCTATGCCCCGCCGTTTCGAAGCAACCGCAATGCATAGGAGGCACGGGACTTTTCACTCTACATTATTAACTGAATGGGTGCAATGGAAGAAACTTACAGTTCAAAAATTCGACTTTTTTCAGCTCCAGATACGATGTGGGGAAGTTCGGACAAGACCGCTTTGCGTTGTCGCGGACTGCTCTAATGTTTCCGAAACACAAAATCGATAGGAAAAGCGTTCCCTGCGATTCCAGATCACGCCTCGGCTAGAACTGGCAACGATGCATTCTAAGTACCGAGGCTAGGCTATGGGTAGCGCGAGCTATACTGCCCATTATAAAGGGTACAGCCATTAGCACCCATCCATCCATCCAGATCACCCAACAGTCGTCACTCTGAAGCTCAGCCTTATTTAGTGGCTCTATCCATCGACTCGAGTCGCTGGCGTCAAGCTAGTGCGGTACGCAGATGCTTCGCTTCATGGGAATCTTGTTTCTGCGCACGCGCAGTGCCCATACCCGGTAATGGGCAAGCGCGGGCTAGTCTGTAAGCTGTGTGTTGGTGAATACGGCGAGCACGCATACGGGGGGGGGGGGGGGGGGGGGGGGGAGGGGGGGGGGACACGACAATCGGAGGACAGCAGAGCGAACGCACAGGGACACGCGATGACGTCAAGCTCGTGTCGTCAGTGGTTGAATGAGGTCGGGAGTAAAGAAAAGCACGAGACGCGCAAGGAGCGGGCGAACTTGCACGCCGTCTAGTCCGAGAATCACAGGGCGGGGCGAATACACCGGACGTCCTGTTATCGCTCCGCGCCACTCGCCGGTGAGAACGTCCAAGAGCGAAGCATGCTCCCAATTGGAAGCGTGCGACCTCTGCGTGCGACGAGAGAGTAGCGCCAAACTGCAGCCCCTAGACGAAGCGTTTCGCATTGACCGCGGCCGGACTGGCGTAGAAGCCAACCTTAGATTATAATCAATGTCAGATTCCCTGAGCACAGCGCTATACAAGACGTACGGACGTGCAGTCGGCGCTAACTTTTGACAGCTCAGCTGTTAAGGGCTAGTTTCCCCAGTATCAAGTCCCAGACGCGGACAAGACTCTGTAGGCGCACCAGAAGAGGTCGGAGCGGGCAGCGCCTCATTATGCGACGTAACACGTGGACCCTGTTACTGGTGGAGCTAGTAATCAAGGCGGAGTGTCGCGCAGTATATATATATAAATATATACCGAAAGACAGCCCTGAGCTAAAGCGGCTCGACCTTACGACACAGGCTCGAGAAGAGGGGGGTTTCCCTTACCGGGATCGAACCTCCATAGGTCCTTGAGCGGCAAGTTGGCCGACCTTCCGGCCAGCAGGTAGAAGCAGCCGTCCTGCGAGATGCACATGGCGTGCTTGGAGCGCGAGCTGGGCGCCAGCGGGCCACACCCGCGCTGCTGCTCTTCGGGCCCGGCCTCGGAGGAGGCGACCGGCGCCGCCGCCTGCACCTGGGACCACATGCTGCTCACGGGGTCGCTGCCGATCGCAGACGACCCTCCGCTCGAGTCACCTGCCGACAAATCAACCCATCACGATTATGCGAAACAAACAAGAAGTTATAAAGCGCTATTTTGATCTACTGCCCAAACTTTACGTATACAGAAACACATCCGGGCAGCGTGACTTGACATCGCGTGACACTGCGCCACGTGACGCGGTCGGATGACACATACTGGCGTCCTACTGAATGTTGTCGAACGTCAGTCAGCCGAATTTAACGCGGTACAGCTCGTCTTACCTTTGTATCCGCCAAAAATGCGTACCGCATTAGAAAAAAAATGCTGATGGGCCTCCAGCCAAGCTGCCGTTAACGTAGAATACGTTCGGAGGTGTCACGGTGTCGAGTGACACCATTGCGTCACGTCACGTGTTAAAAGTTACCGCTAATTTAGTTGGAAAGAAAGAATATATCTGGAAGTTGCATGTATTCGTGACGTTACCTTCCTTTCAAACTCCCATCCGAGCCAAAACAAAAAACAACAAATTTATGGTAAAAATATTGGAAGTGGTCGCGAGATGTCGCTGTAACTAAAGTTGCGGAAACCGTTGCGGGACGGCGAAAACGATCTACGAAAACTGTCTAATGTGACTGCTAGCCAGGGTGCTAAACGTTTAACGTACACCCCGCAAGGTGTGGTGCTCAATCGTGTCAACATGCTGAGGATGCGAGTGTTTGCTCTATGTGCGCCAGGTAGCAGTGCCTTAGCATGCTTGGCCACCGATCCGCTCCGTGGATTAAACACCGAGCGCAATGGAAGCGCGGAAAGCAAGCGGACATCATGAAATTACCAGTCCAACAAAAAAAGTCTCTTCAACAAAATCATAAGACTATTCGCGTTCAACGTACAGAAAGGCGTCATTTGAGAAGGCCTTCGATGCAAGCACGCAAGTGGAGCGCAAGCGTCGTTCGAGGCAATACCATACAAATATATATATATATTTTTTTAGTGTAATTGCACGAACTAGCTTCCCTCTTAGTAGTTACGGGCATTCACACCATGTCCTTTTTTTAGAGGCATGTTCAAACTCTATTATTGCCAAAACTTAAGATCTAATATTTGGTTAATGCACGACCCAAATGCGATGCTAATAAATGTTGCGACAAACAGTTATTTGACAAAAATTATTCTCATCAAGCGCCTTTCAGACATCTTGATACACTTTGAACGGTGGTATATTCTTCTTTTTTTTAAATTCTCTATCCATAACAAAATTTGTGTAGGTCAATCTATAGCCATCGACTTCCTCTTCCAAGTAATAACGTTAATATGTTTTTTTTTAATCTGCACGACAACTAGTAAATAAGTTCAATGAATGTATGTATACTCGGGGGCCCGACTAGGAACTATAATAAATATTTTTTTTTAACAAGTATAAAAAGTACACCTGAAAGCTGCGGCAGCAACTATTTCAGTCTAGATAAGATTTGGAAGAAAAAGAGTGGTTGAACATAACGGCCATCCTTGAGTTGTAAACCTGACGTTTGATGGCAGCGAAAGTGGGCGCCTGTCACGTTTGATGCCTCTAATTAGTAATAATTCGGCGGAAACACTTGCTCGTAGTCGGCCACAGCTTAAAAAAAAAAAAAAAACGCTTAAGTTTAGGCTTTTTGCTACGTAATTCCTCTTTCTGCGTTCTCATTGGGCAATGCCGCAACCTCAAGGGCAACGGAGATCCAAGATACCCTGAACTCGTCACCACAAACGGCGTTTTTTAAGTTGTCAGTGACGTATGAGACGACATATCCGTTCCGTCCCTGCTATACCACACAAGGGTCACCTAGCGCAGCTAAACCCCGTGCATTATTGATATCAGACCGCTTCGAAGCGTAAGTCTCAATACGGATTACTATATACTCTGACTTCAATACGCTGGATTCGTCTCACGATTCCTTTCGTTCATTTACACTTCCAAACATTTGAGGAAGTACAATTTGAGCTCTGAACTCCCATGCTTACATACCCTCCTAAAATACAAAAAAAAAAAAAAAAACTATAAACGTGCTTAGAAACACACAAAAACAAAGTAAAAAAGCAGAAATTATGAACGACAGGATTTGGCAGTTCGGTGACGCGTGTTAGGAGCCTCGACTCCCCAGAGCCCCTCCATCACAGCCGAGACAGGGCAGAAACCGCCTTAGCGTCTCCCCATCTTCCATCGCTAATTGCAACCTCAATTAAAGGCATCTTTCGTTCCCCCCCTCTTGACATCCACCCCCGCTCTCCCTCGTTCCCAGCGGTGGCGCAGCGGGAATATACGTGTCACGCTGAGTGCCGTAATCATCCAGAATATATTATACCTGGATTCCAGTTAATGGAACATTTGATATCCGGCCGTGAGGTTAGTATACGGAAACGAGCCGACAGCCGGGCCCGTTGAGCGTTATTAAAACCGAGACAGGGAAGAGACCTAATCTGTCTTCGCGCTTTTGGGTTATTGCGAATATATAGGGAGGAAAAAAAATTGGCTGCCTTTTTGGCATTTCCAAATAATAATAATAATTGGGGTTGTGGGGATATTTATACAGCGTGTAGTTGGTCAGCCATTAAAGTTGCGACGAGTCTCCCAGCTGTAGATGAGCAATTTAGCCAGTGCAGTACAACCGCTAGCCTGGGGTCTTTAACGTGCACCACGCAGGAGTGATACACGACCGCACGTCGGTACGATGCTCATCCAGATCAAAACGGGCAGGGGTGGGGCTCGAACCCAGGATCCCTGGGTTCTGCAGCGCGAGCTTTCGCTCCACGTGCGTCGAGCTGGGTGTGCGCTTCAGCCCACTCGGCCACCGATCCCCCCCTTTGGCATTTCCCAAGGACATCCTGAGTGCGTAATATTTAAAGCGCCTTTTCGCAGTATTCTCTTTGCAGGCACAGTAAGTAGGCAGCTCAAAGGTACATAGGGAGGGTTTTGTGAACATCTAAAGCCGTCACAAGGTCGCGTGGTGTCGCAGGAGACCCATGAATAGTACGCATATAGAGCGCTTTTGGAATGACGTCCCACGTGGCACTGTGACATCATCGAGGCTACATCCGCAAACACGAAACACCTCAAATCTGGCCAAATAAATGGCTACGCATTAAATAAAACTACCAATTAGCGATGACACGAAGAATGCACCCCCTAGTGTTCTTCAGAATTTTTTTCTCGTGTTTCGGAATCATCACTGTTGCGTGTGTGACGAGGCGTTGTCAAGAGCACAAAGCTCGCGGTGGAAACGGACCGTCTACTGAATACTTAACCTGACACCGACCATAAGTCCCACAGATTTGAAAAGTACGTGATGAACTCTGGTCCAAGAGAACAACTAACAAACAAGCTGCACAACCGAAGTTTGTTGGGGTTGCTAAAACGTTTCTTTCATTGTGCACACAGAGTCTCCTAGGTTTGTTCATTCACACGTTCAAAGAGTCGCGTTTTCCCGCACGTGTAAGTGACAAAACATTGATGCAGCAATAATATAAATGAGAGGAAAGCTCGTACTGGAATAGAAAACAAAGCGCCGCACTTTCCAAAAATGTATGCCCCTTTTTTGTGTGTGTGAGCTCGGAAGCATACGCTTGCAAGCGCACCAGTCCATGGTGTATAAACATGCGTCTCTACGCGCGTGCGAACGTATGGTGTAGAGGTAGCTATAACTATATATATAGGCGTATCACTTCAAACGATAGTTCGCCAAATAGTGTAAAAATAAAATCTAGGCAAGAAAGGAGCCCCACAGGGAGATTTTAGTGACTAAGGAAAAAAACAAAAGAAAAAAAAAAAACTCACGCTAACCGATGTGACTGCAGCCGCATTCCGGATTAAAATAGCCACCCGGTAATCTATCTTTCTCTTCTTTTTTTCCTTTTTTTCGCAGCCGAACTTTCCGAGCCTGATTTCTTACTCCACCGACTTTCATTACCCCTCAGACTTATTTCGTTTTCGTATTACTATTACCTTCAGCGCTCTCACCCGTAAGAGAATAAAAACAGACAAAAATGCACGCTAGATGAAGATCGAAAAAAAAAAGAACGCCGCACCAAAGTGGGCGGCAGAGGAGGGGGTCATAAGATGGTAATTTGGCGGCAAAGTGTTTCAGCTAATCCCTGAACTCCCCGTCGCTGTCGTCTTCCCCCTCTCGCTCTGAAGCTATTTTCGGGAAAGGGGAAGCGAGATGAGCGCTATCCGGAAGCGAGATGGTCCTACCGGAACTAGTAATCCTCCTCCTTCCCCCCTCTCCATTGCTTCCTATACGCTCCCCCGATTGATGACGCCGATGCCCGCCGACCCCAAACCGCATCAGTGTCGCCGCAGTTCCGTATATCTTCATCTGTTTCTCTTTCTTTTACATATATGAGCCGTACCCGACTTCGCCGCAGTTTACTACAGACTATTTATTTTATTTCAGAGTTAGTGTTATTGCCGTTTGATAAGAAAACGGCCCCGGGTTAGAGCTAAGGCCCCATGTCACTGTCAGTGAGCTCGACTCCTAACTGCCCACTATATATTTTGGGTCTAAGGGTCATTTATTTTGTAGACTTTTTTTTTTCCTTTTTCAGATCGCGTACGAATGCGTAGGGCTTGAAGCTGTTCTTAAGTACTATAAAAAAGTTTCAAAGCACGGAAATGTTTGTAAAAATTACACGAAAAATGCAAGGGACGGGAATATCTAACACTCAACGACGGAAAAAGCTCAACAAAACACAAAACTGAAATAAAAGAAATCAGTTATAGCAATTGACAGCTTAGAGGCCGACCTACATAATTGTCTTCTGCCGGGCAGAACACCGGTTTCCAGTTTCCTTCTCTCCATTTCTTTTCGCACTGTTCTCTCCTCATCTTTCCAGAAGAGCACGTCTCTGGGCTAGTACCTGCAGAATGAAGAGATCCTCCCTCTTTCTCGAATGGGAAGGAGGAATGGAGGGAGATTTTTCTGGCTTTCTGGTCGCTTGTCGGCCTTTAAGAAATGCAGAAAGTGTCGAGTCTCAAGCATCTAATTGACGCTCCGCTTCC